TTCATAAAAAAATGTCTGATGAATACCTTAAGAACTCAAGAAGAATTGCAGTCAATTCCACTGAACCAGATAGATTTTCATAAAAACAAGATCAAATATCCCGCTAGTTTGTAGCATGTAAGACATGACATTCAAAATCTGAAGTAAGGTTATCCACATTCTATATCTCCAGACCATACCTTATATCTTCAGATTTACAGATATTATAATCTTTTTATGCATATTATTGACCCAAATTTGTGGTTTGGGCTCCAAACTAGTGTATTGTAAAAACTTAAATTTATGAATCTTTTGAAAATTTTATTTCAATAAGGTGAATTTTTCTGACCTTACACAAGGGTCACACTACCCAAGTAACTAGTGAGAAAGATTTTAGCAAAACATTATCTGAAAACAATTGAATAATTTGTAATTGTATGATCTACTGTAGTGCTTCCTTGACCATGAACTAATCTCTATGCTTTTTCTATTGGCTAATTTTAAATCAGTAATAGAAATACACCTAAATAATATGCATTTCTTGAAAATTATGAGCTGCATCCTAGTAGCACTTCAACAGTTTTCGCAGATTCAGTAAGGGCCTTTTATACGTAAAATGACATTGGATTTTTGCATCACTTTCATTTTGGGGTTAATTTTTTGAAGTAGAAAGAATGTCTAGTATAAAATGATCCTTTAGTCTAAGTTGAACAGTACAGAATGACACTTACAATTTATTTGTGGACGAATATGCTCATCTCTAAAGCTATTTGTACCACCAGTGCAGTTCTTCATAGATATCCTCAGAAAAACTTTCAAGTATTTACTGGGGTTCTGAAACTTAGAGGTTAAGCCTGTAGATGGATTTTATCTTACCTTATTGGTCAAAGTCAAACCTGTTTCTACTCTGCATTTCAATTTCAGCATGTTAAATTGCTTTCTGCTGTATAGAAATTAAACTTGAAAGATCAGAGATATTTCTCTTGGCTTCTGAGAGGTCAGTGTGTTGTTTCTTTTTTGGAGGGAAATGAAAGGATGAAGACATACAGTATTTCATTGTTTGCTTTTATGTACAATATACACACAGTCCAAAAAGACTGTGTTTTTGAACAGAGGTATCAAGTAGACAGAAATGACTTCAGTAATCATCATTGGAGTTGTGAGTAAGCTGCATGGAACAGCAGTGTATGGCCTAATCTACTGAGTACTTGTTTTAATAATGAGATGCTCTTCTTATCAAGCAATACTTGTTGTGCTGGAGATCCAGGTGTCATTGAAAGTTTGTGTTCATAAATTTGGACTTGTAATTCTATGTGAATTTTACATCTTCTGAAACTACTGCAGTATTCAATAAATAATTAGCATATTTGGAAATATGAGAAATAATTTTTCATTAGGCAAGCATGTGCCACTGATGTAATACTTCATTCTGATACTAAAAAATGTATTCTGAATATTACTTGTAGCATGATGAACAACAAATTGGATTATTCGTGTAATGAAATAGATAATTCATAAGCTAAACGTAGTTGTTTTACATAATCGATACAGTTTAAACATTGCTTAAGAACTTTCATTGCGGTTTGTAATCACTGTTCTTTTTACTCATAGAAGAGAATAGAAATGAACACTTTCAAATATTTGTGATACTTATTAATTACAATTGTTTTACTGTGTTTGTGGTCTCCTATTATTTCTTTATAACAATAAGAAAAATATTTCTGGTCACTGGAATATCTTGTTAAATTAAATATGGCATGAATACATATATATTGTTCTAGGAAGTTGATTTAAATGTTGCCTTGATTTTAACCAATAGCCAAATTATACTGGGTGACTTATTTCTCTAATCAAAACAGTGAATTACAAATTTAAAATGTTTATTATAAAATCACAGAAGCTACATAATTGTTATAATATAACTGTTTTATTAAATTTGATAGTAATAGAAAAAGTAAATGAACAAAAAATTCTATCAGGTGTAGAATGGCTTGAGAGCAGTCCTGAAGAGAAGGATTTGGTGCCACTTGATGAAGGATTCAACATGAACCGGAAATGTGCGCTTGCAGCCCAGAAGATCAACTGTATCCTGGACTGCAACAAAAAAAGCATGGCTATAAAGTTGAGGAGGGTGATTCTACCTCTCTAATCTGTTCTTGTGAGACCCCATCTGGAGTACTGCATCCAGTTCTGGGGATCCCAACATAAGAAAGAAATCGAGCTGTTGAAGTATGTCGAGAGGAGGGCCTGAAGATAATCAGATCTGACCTCCAGTATGAAGACAGGCTGAGAGAGTTGGGGCAGCCTAGAGAAGAGAAGGCTTGGGGGGACCTTATAATGGCCTTCCAGGAACTGAAGGGGCCTATAGGAAAGATGGGGAGGAACTTTATAGAAGGGCAGGTAACGCCAGGATGAGAGAGGGTAGATTTAGACTAGATATTAGGAATAAATTTTTTAAAGTGAGCGTGGTGAGACACTAGAACAGGCTGCCCAGTGAGGTTGTGAATGTCCCCTCCCTGGAGGTGTTCAAGGCCAGGCTGGATGGGGCTTTGAGAAACCTGGTCTAGTAGGATGTGTCCCTGCCTATGGCAGGGTGGTTGGAACTAGATGACCTAAAAGTTCCCTTCCAACTCAAATCATTCTATGATTCTATGATTCTGTGATTTATTGATAATATATGACTAAATGTATTTTTTGCTCTTTATTACTTCTACAGTTCTGACCTATGTTATATTGGTATATTTCATTTTCTTCAGGACAGATTTAATGTTTCATTTTATGGAACAACATGGATACTTATAGTTGCACTAAGGGGAAAAAAAGGTGTTTTTTTTTTTTTGCACATATAGAAATAAGTATGTTTCCTACTTCTCTGAAATAACATACAGATTATACATAAACTCTCCATGTTTTAATTGTTATTTTTCTTTATTTTAGTACTCCCACTGCTACCATGTAGATCTTAGAATTACATTAAACACAAGGCATATGGATCTACTTAACATGGTTTCACATTAAATTTGTACAGTTCTTAATCTTCCCACTACATAATGCCTTTTTTTTTGTTGTTGCCAACAAATTCATGGCCTACAGCTGACTGCTTTTATAGCTTTTAATTAAAGTCTGAAGTGGAAAGTGTCTATTAGCCAGTGTGTGAAGCCAGTCACAAAGAAGTTGTACAAACTGCATAAGATGGATAGCATTTACATCACTTTTCCCACCTTTGTCTTCATGATGAAGAGAAGCTAATTCAAGTTAATTATGTCAAAGTGGGAGGTCCAGAAGGCAGAGACTATTTTGACAAATGTCCTCAATTATTGAAGACTTACAAATAAATTTGCAAGCAAGGATTTTATCAATATTTTATTGGCTTTTGCAGAATTGTTAGAGAATCTCTTCCTACAGTTTGAGAACTCATATTTATTCACATGATACTTTTTGTTTTAGATTGGTAACTGACCTTATCTGTTCTGCTGCAGATTTATAATATTCTTTTTTGCCAAAGAAATGTCTATTTTCAGAACGTCTGAAACCTAGACATGCATTTCCACTTGTGAATTTGAAGAATGTTCATTTGTCATGCACTCTGTAAAACACTTCCATTAGTTTATTTACTCTATGAATACGAAGGAGTAAAAAAGTGGAAGAACTGACTATTAAAAGGCAATTTCAGACCTTCTTCCCATGAGCAGTATTGTTGTTTTATTGCCTCATAAACTGAGACTGAAATTTTTCCTCATTCTCTTGTACTCATCCCCTTGTCCAATTTACAAGCACAATGCTAAAATAAAAAGATTTGAAATAATTAAGAAAGAAAAAAAACAGTGAACATTTAACTACTTTTGCCAAATAATTTTTAGTTCTTCTGGGAAAGTATGAAACAGCAAGAACAAAATGAACCAGCAGTAGCAGTCTGATACTGCTTCCCCTTCCCTTTCCAGTTTATTCATGTATGGGAACTGCTGAATCATGGCCTGAACCTCTGATTGATCACCTGAGGCAAGCAATGAGTCAGCCACAGGAGCACAGGTGAAGGCAATTCACCTGTGCTGCTGGAAGGGGTGGAGCTCCACCTCTCCTAGACCCATTTAGGAGCTGGCTACCAGTAGGAAAGGATCTCTTCTAGATATTCACTCTACTGGAGTTTCATAGGCAAGCCTAGGACGTAGGTAAGCTTTCTACTGGTTCTCTCTTTGTTATTATAATCTGCTTTGCCTAATCCTCTTGTTTATTTCATAATTATAATGTCTTAATATTCATTGATTATACAATTCAGTTTAAGGATTTGGGGTAGTTAACACCTCTAGGCACTATATGTGGAATGTCAAGAGATGTGTAGATTGTATTTTACTGAAGGCCTTTCATTTTACTATAGAAGATGAGCTCTCTATTACTTAAAGTCTGAAGTTTGAAAGTATTTTGTAATTGCACAAATGCTATGTTTTCCAGTATCATGTATCACTGTGTAAACTGCTTTTGTTTTTAGTTGACATTCCAGCTCCTGGAGCCATTGAATTTCAGTACAGTAACAAGTATTCATGTTTTATATTGAAGAAGATGGCTCTTGTGGTTTTTTTTTTTTTTTTTTTTTTTTTAACTGTCAATGAAGATTGATTAGCTTTCTCCATGATGCATTTGTTAAAAATCTGAAAATAATTCATTTGCATAATGCCAACTTTCCTTTTCCTTAACTATTTCACTGCAAAGAAAATAACAACCTCAACGAATGTGTCATAGCTTTGATTTAATTCGAGGTTATGTATTCGTGGAACTATACCTCCGAAGAAGAGAATATGGAATCATAGAATTGTAGAATAGTTTAGGTTTGGAAAGGATCCTTATGGTCATTAAATCCAATTATCAACGTCAGCAATCCACTGTTGAACTATATTCTGAACTGTCATATCTCCATGTTTCTTTAACAACTCTAGGATTGTCCATTCCAGCCTGTTCCAATGCCTGACCACCTTCTTTATTAAGAAATTCTTTCTGATATCCAATCCAAACCTTCACTTTTGCAGCTTTGAGACATCTCTTCACATGCTGTCACTTGTCACCTGTGAAAAGAGATCAACGTTGTGCTGGTTGAAACCTCCTTTTGGGTAATTACAGAGAACGATCAAAGCCTCCCACTGAGCTTTTTTTTTTTTTTTTTTTTTTAAAAAAAAAAAAAATATCAACTCCAGTTTCTTTAGCAATACTACATATGTCTTCTCTTCTTGTCTATTCACCATCTTCATTTATCTTGCCTGGACACACTCAAGTAATTCTTTCAAATGGTGAAGAATGATGTGCCCCAAAAGTAAACACAGCCCAATACCCAAGTTTGTGAAGTACAGAGAGACTATCACTTCCCTAGTCCTGCTGGCCCCACAATTTCTGTTGCAAGCCTTGATGGCATTAGCATTCTCGGCCACCTGGGAACACTGTTGGTTCATATTCAGTCAGTTGTCAACCCTTGCTATTCAGTAGACATTTTGAAGTAACTCTGGTCTCTTAAATGGTAAAATGAAGTAAGACTGTATTTGGAAGATAAAAGTAAATGCATTATTCATTGTAATTTTCATTCATAATCAAACCATAGTATGCCTGACTGTCAAAACATGCAACAGTGTGTATGCAACATTTGTCATTGTGTGTAAGTAGTATTTTTTAATTATCGTGAACAGAATATGTGTATAACAAAAAAACTAGTAGCTTATTGTTTTTTTCTTTTTTTTAATTAAAAGAAATAAAATAATTCTTAATATCTAAGCACCTAGGGAAATCAGTATTCTTAGTAATATCCAGTTTGGACTTTCAGAGTTGTTGCAGCTACATGGAGGTTCAAAACCCAGTTATAGAACAAATGTGTATGATAAAACTTCATTATATATAAAAAAAATAAAATAAAATAAAAAGCTGGTTTGAAAATAACTTTTAGAACACAAATTTTGTAGCAAAAAATTTTGGAAGTACTGAATTTTAATGAGTAAGGAATATTTTTTCAAATGCAAAAGGAGCATTGTTTTAATTGGGCAATATAAAAGATGAATATTTGTTCAACGATATACAAGACTAGCAGTGACTTAATTATCTAATTCTTGATCAAAGGGTTTTAGGAAGTAATAGCTAGAAATACTGATTTAACATAATTTTCTGACAACCTATGCCAAGTTTTTATATTATTTAAAGCTGCTAGATCTTGGATTTCATACCTGGAGATGAAGAGGATACAGTACTGGAGTCCCAACTCAGTTCAGGGGTCTGAAGATTGATGCCAAATACAGTGAAGGGCCCAAGGCTACTTTTCATTTCCTTGAAGAGGACTTGTGGGGCTGTATCAAAAAAAAAAACATTCTCTCTTACAGTAGACTCATGGAGGTGAGATAATTTTATCTACAGGTTCTTCTTTTAAATAAGTTAATAAATACATAGATAAATTTAGAAGCTCCTGTCACTTCTGTAGTAAATTTGAAAGCTAGAACTTTAATATCTGAACTTGTGTTTCTGTTTAATATTTTTGCTATATGCATTATGACTTCAAGGTTTTCATAGTTACCTATCTTTAGGTAGTAAATAAACAAAGGAAAAAAATAGAAATGCATTAGTCTCCCTGTTGTTCTGTAGAAAATCAGATCTCAATGTACAGCATGTAGAATGAGAGTATATATTCATAGCAGGAGTTAAATAGAGTTAGTTCTTTAGGAAGGACAACTTGAATAAGTTTAAAATATCTTAGATGCTGAAAATTCAGCACAAACCAGGTCTATCGTGGAAAGTTATTCTCAATATAAGTCTGTTGTGTTGGTGAGTACATGCAGGCTACTGTACTGTTAAGAGGGATTTGAAGATCTGACCCTCTCAAATAGCTGTCTTTTTTATCAACTGACTTCCATATACCGCACATTTCAAAGGGGTGTCTTTTGTAAAAGGTGCTACAGTGACTTATAAGTGAATAGCCTTTCTGTTCTCAAAGTACGCAGAGTCTTAAAACAAGCAGTTGCTGACATGCAGACATTCCTTGAATTACCAGTAATTGTAGCAGAAAAGGCCAGAGAACAATAAGTATATTAGCAGTAAGTGCTGGACAAGTGCCAGGACAGTCTTCTCTCTGGAAAAGAGAGTGATATTTGTAATTACTTACTAAAAATTGTCATACCTTCAGCTCAGATGGAATTTTCTTCTTCATGTCTACAATGATGCTATATTTTTGTTCTAAGAAAAAAACAATGTTAATAATACATCAGTGTTTATTATTGTCTGTTAAGCAGTGCTGTACAGAGCCAAGGCCTCTCAAAGAGAAGGCCTAAGAAGCTGTGAGGTAACAGAATTAGGACAGCTGACTTAAACTGGTCAGTGGTCTATTGCATATCATATGATATCACGATGAAAGGGGTGGGAGTTCATCTCTCTCTTCTGCTGCTCCAGGGACTAGCCGGGCATCAGTTTGAGGATGGTAAGCAAATGCTTGTACATCCCTTGTTATATGCATTCATATATATTATAATAATTATCCTTTTCATAATCTTAGTGAATAGTTTTATCTCAATCCATGAGTCATACATTGTTTTTCTCCCTTTTGATTCTCTCCTCCATCCCCTTGGGAAGTGGGGGTGGGAGCTGGCCAATGACTGTGTGGTACTTAGCAATCTGTCAGGTTAAACCACAACCAAAATAAGCATATTATCTGCTAGATACCTTCAAACAATGTCATTAGTTCCTTAAAAATATTTCCCACCTGATTGTTTTAAGCAATTCCTGCAGTAATACTCTAAGAGAAACAGTTAACAGTATGTTGCTGCATGCCCAAACTTAAATCTCTGATATAATATGGAAAAATGTTTATTTCCTGTTAATTTCATTCAACTGGAGCTTTTCTGGTAACCATGTGTGGCACATCTAGCTTGACATTTTCAAAAAGAAGCACAACAGAAGTTGACAGTATGCCTTTATAGTGTGGAGAATATAGAGTGGAGAGCCACAGGGAAGAGAAAAAGTACTTTCTATTGAGCAAACAGTCCATTTACCAGCAATAGCTTCCATTTTATTTATGACTTATTGTAGAAAACCACATCTGTGATATGTTACTGAAGAGGAGAGTGATTATTTTGTTGTACATTTTTAAGTTTTTCATCCTATGTGAGTTTAATCCTAAGGAAAATATGTAGGACAAATTCAACCATTATAATAATCTCCTGAATTGTCCCACAGCCTTGCACGTATGCAAAACAGTCACCTTTCTTCCACATTGAACTACTACACTTTTTCTAAAGAACATGGCAAAGATCAAGCTTCAGAAAAACAAAAAACTACAAAAAAGACAACTCGCAACTCTGTTTCCAATACACCATTTTATGAAGGTTTTGTTTGTTTTTATTTCATATTGGGTTCTTTTGGTCCTCTGGTGACAAACAAACATCAAAGAGCTTTTCACGGGAGTGAAGGAGACTTTGGGATTTCTCGTACGAAGCTGAGAAACAGCCATTCCCCTGCTTTATTTTATGAAGTGAGTGAAGTAGAGTAGTTTTTGCATTTTTCACCTTCCAGCAGTAGACACCGCAGGTAAATGATACAGACAAATCTGTTATGCAGAAGGAATACTCAGTGATCTTAGGTTGGGCTGAGAAGTGTGTTTTATGTCAGGCACTTGTAGTAGCACATCATCCAGACCCTCTAAGTTTAGCCCCTGAAATCACTTCCACACAGGAGACCTACAGCAAACGGAACTGGCATGTATCAAGTGGGTTGATGGACATGCAAACTGCTGTTTCTACAGGAATACTTGTTTTTTTTTTTTTTTTTTTTTTTTTTTTTTTTTTG